TTTCACGTCCAATTTATGTGAAATGAAGATTTTTGCTTTTCCTGACTTTGAAGCACCACTTTCAGTGTTGAAACTATAAACTTTTGTTAATGACGTCAAAAATATTACATTATAAATCTAAATCAATTTAATACTTAAACAATTCGAAACCTTAAATATATCCATACTAAATAAAATACACTTACACCACTTGCCACAAAAAAAGGCGCTCATGTTTTAACGTCTCGTCAAGTAAAGATTTCAAAATTTGATCAAAATTCTTCACTTCGCTGTTTTGGGTCTTTGGAAAATATGTTACCTCTGAAAAATTGGGTTTATTTATAGGTCGAAGCAACTTTTAGATGCAAACTTGTTGCTCTGGTCCCCTAACTCAAAGAGTTTCAATGTAACAGGCATTTGGTGATTTTCGCATTTTTAGACCGTCGTCGATAGCAAATTAGTCCTGACGTTTCGCTGGGACGCATGCTTGACATCTTCAGAGGTGTGTTCTCTTCGAAGGCGGCAATTTCAATCGATCACTGCCTAAAACGCCAAAATTCCCGACTGTTCAAATCATCGCTGCGAAAGCTTGACTATTTAAAAATTTAAAATCTTTATGTAGTGGATTAACAATATTCACGAAAACGCATAAGTTTCTCTTGGCGTTTTCAATCAAGTTGCAAGATTTTACAAAGTTTAAGTTTCAAATATGTTTTTTAGCTTAATAGATGCCTTATCTAAATTCTACATTATACCACTAATTATCAAACAGCTACACTAACTGCTCGAAACCTGAGAAAAGTTGATATTTAAAAATTGAAAAAAATGGTGGTAATCAATCAAGTTATTTGTTCTGATGATTGCGCGAACTTTGTGGAAAAAGTCTGTAAGCAACTCATAACTTTCTTTGCCTACCGATTTGCGACGATTTTGTCACGTTCAGTTTAGCAAAACCCAGATAAACGTTCTCTGTGTTTTAAAGAAGAGAACTTTGCAAAATCCGCGAAGATTAAGTATTTTAGAATCTTTGTGATTTTCCAATTCTCCGTTAAAGGATAAATTAATTCTAAAAAAAAATATTTTGTTTAATAATCTGTTTTGTTGTTTGTTGTCAGTCTAATGGTTACCATACACTGAATACTTTGTGGCTGAGAGATCTTCCAGAACTTGTTCTGACCCTTTTCTCCATTTCCATCCGGATGAGTGTCACCTACTTTTTTAGTAAATTTCCTATAAAACAATTTAAAAATCGTTAAAAAAATCGCCAACCGCTTAATAAAGGTATGCCTAAAGAAAAGATGAAAACCCAAATCCTACCTTGATGCTTGCCGGAATCCAATTTCCATTCAGAATATCACAAATAAACCCTTCTAGCATTTTTCTTCTAAGCGATCGAAATGAAACATTGAGTCAAACTTCAAGGAAACGATCGTTCGCATCCGACATTGGACAAATCATTGTAAATTCACAAATCTTGTGTTCACCAAAACAAATTTTCTAACCGAAAAGTTTTTTATTCATGTTGATAATCTTTGTTTATGTGTTCCTTTGCCATCTTTAAACGCGAAACTTCAAAATTAAAAAAGGCGTTAAAAGTTTGAGAAAATTGTTGGAGAAACCTTAGTAGCTGTTGAACAGTTTCTATCGATTGCTGGAGCATTATTTGAAATGGAAATGCGAACAAAAGCCCTTTTCTCTACTAAAGTAATTATCTGACAACATCTGAGGCAAAATTAGGTATATCGAAAACAGAACATGTTTTGCATGCGATCCAAAATGATAATGCGACCTGAAAAGGGGTGATTTCCTATACCGATTCAAAATTTCACTATTGCCTCATGTGGGGTTAAACTTTTATCCAAAATCTCAGCTCTGAGCCATAGAAATTAAAAAATGGTGTTTCCTTCGTTTTTCACAGATGATCTGCAAATATTTTCAGAGCAACAACACTATTTTTTTGGTGGAAGAAGGTCTGATTTTCGAAATAACATCACCCTGTACGTTTTCAAATCCTTCAACCTTGGAATGTTTTATTAAAAATCCCCAAACCGCACCCTCTGTATTTTAAAATCCATACGTTTTGCGCAATATTTTTATACGATCAACACAAATCAGATCCTGAGTTTGGCAGAATAAATTAAAATTTAACATAAACTTTTTTATAATTTATTGGTTTCCGACACACACCGATCTTATAAAAATGGTCTTTACTACTCGTCTTTCCTGAGCCACGGAAACTTAAAATATTTTTCTTTCCGATGAAACATGGAATGTTTGAGATCATTAGAACCCGATAGATTCCGAAGCGTGTTGATCTCAGGCATGTCTAGGACCGTTTGTGGACACAGCGTCGTGTGTGTTTTGTATTGTCTGTAAAACTACAAGGTTTATTGAAAATTCCGGGTTCCATTATTCAGCTAATTTAAGCCATAGCGCCTGAAGACGCTTGTTTAAAACAATTCCAAGTGTAACGTAATTTTCAACAAAATATTTCCATGTAAGCACGAAAAAGCCACATTGTCATAATCTCGCTTCCGTTTGCTTCATACACCGTCGAAAATTCATAACTAGCGGTAGCTGAGCGGCTGAACCCGACCAGCAGAAACTGTAAACCGCCCAAAATGGGAATAAAATGGTAAAAGGGCACATTTGCATTACGTAAGTAATCAAACGGATGCTTTGCATTAAATAAGTGGCTAAATGGAAGGGATTTTCGGATCCTCTCAGACAGCCTAATTACGGCGCATATTTCTTTAATGCCGGCTCCTTCCGAAGTTCAACGGTTAAAAGGGCTCTTAGGCTTTCATACCGAAAAAGTAAACTGCGAATTTTCTAGTTTTAAGTAGCTGAGACCCTCAAGAGTCCGCGACTGGGTTAAGAGTCAAGCAAACAGTTGCGATTTGTACTTTTAACATTTTCGGTTTTGCATCATGTCCTAATTTTTATATTCCGACACTGTTTGGACACCAGACCTCATTTGCTGGAATGTTTGTCCCAAACAGAGGAAATTGAAAAACGCTACAAAAATGTCAAAAATACCGTTTAAATTTAGCGCAAATCCCCACAAACATTGACTAAACCCTTACGGGCTCACTTGTTTGCTGATCAAGTAAATTTCAATCAGGCAATAATTAAAAAGCCTTTTCATGTTTCCAAGTCGAACAGCTCGACACGGCATTTACTGGTACACAATGGTTTCAGCAAGCGCTAACATTTTTCCATATTAAATGAGCCGCAAATATGGAAACAGTATTTTTACTCGAGAAGCATTGTTTTCCATTCAGCAACTTGTGGAATATTTTGATTATTTACAACGATCGATTAAAAGCCTTTTTATTTTCAAGTGTGAACTTGCTGGTCATTTAAACAGATGGATTCATTTTTTTTTAAGTTCGAAGAAAGTAATTTATCGATTCTATAGTAGACGGGGTTTGCATAATTTATTGGCTTATGACACACACGTTCTTAGGCATTTTCCAGTTACTAATCGCCTTAAGTGGCATTTGTTTTAACAACAAGAGATCCATTTTTAAAAATTACTGTCGTATGATACACATATTTGTGGAAAGGTTTTCTTTCAATGCAATTTTTTTTTTTGTAAAGGCAAGCTTGTAAAATATATATTTTTGAAGCTTTTGCCAATAATGATTCAATGTTTATGAGTTAAATTTTTACGATGATTTTTTTGCTTTGGTCGGCAGGTTTGATGAATATTTGTCAAGTTGATGCGGAAAACGCTTTGTTTTTGAGACCCTGGATTTTACAGTTTTGTATTTTATTTGATAAATATTTTCCATTTTCAATATTTTCTATAGTTTTTGGGATAGTTTATTGAAATTTTTACATTCGATTTCCGGCGATGATCCACAAGTTTCTGAGGGTTTAAACAACTTGAAAATATACCGGGTGATTTTTTGCGAAGACTTGGGCTTGAGGCACTGTTGTGCTTTCTTGGTCAAAGTTCTTGGTCAAAAGTCAAATAAATCTTTCTGCGAGGAATATGATGTGGCTCAGAACGAAAGAAAGCATACGATGATATAGCCGCGTGTCTTCTGAGTGACTTGGATCTTTAATCGTCTGTTTATCCTGAGCCGTTCGAGAGATATTCACTTTTTTATGACCAGTATGGAATATTTTCTGCTTGAAATTTAGTTTAACTCTTCTTGTACTTGCGAATAAAGTTGCTGGCAGAAACGCTGTCCAAACACCATTTTACTACAAGTTGGTGATAGCTCTGTTTAGTTTGTCACTATCTGTGCTTTGCCAATTAATTTGTGAATTTTTTGTTTGTACGCGTAATAATTTTGTTTGTAGTTTTATTTCATTATGGAGTTTTGTGCGTAACAAAATTTGCCTGCACAGCCAAAAAATTAAACAAAAACAGTATTTTAATAAAATGTTAAAATATATTTTTGGAACTATTTTGAAATTACTAGACAACGCTTACAGTTGTGATCAAAAAGTAAAAGACAAAAAAGTTCCTGAAAGATTAATGGGGTATTTTTTCAAATTGTTTACATTTTGTCAAAACTTGTGGACCATCGCTGTTAATCTGGGGTGAAAATTTGAATCCATCAGTCACAAAAAGTGCAGTTGTTGCAAAAATTCTGAAAAAATATAAAACTTTAACCCCCTGTATCTTGAAAATTTGCAGTTTCCGCGACATCTTTAGATCACAAACTTAACTTAGAATAAGGCGTCCAATGGAAAGCCGGAATAACTGAATTTAATGTGAAAAATAATGAGAAACAGGTTTTCATAATTTATGAGCGTATGACACGCACTGTTCTAAAAATATTTTAAATGTATTCTTAGACTTTTTTGAGCAATTGATGGGGAAGTTTGCACAGAGCAACACCAATTTGAAATTGAACATTCCTGCAATAAATCTCCACTATTTTCACTGTCAAATCCTGAAAACGATTTTAAATCGAGCGTTTTATGAAAATGCAAGAAACCTGCGACTGTTGCCAGCCAAGAGTGAAAGAGCTTGAAAAAGCAGTGAAACCAGTGGATATTTGTTTCTAAGGTCGTATATGCAAGCAATTTATGATAATGTTGAGCCTGATCCGCCCTCATAAATCTCTTTAACGCAAAGTTAGCAGTTTACCATAAATGGCCGCCAGTTGAGTTTTGATATACACTTTGGAAGCTATTCGCATGCATATGACCCATCTCCGTCGTCGGATTATGCATTCAATGCAAATTCAGTGCACAAGCTATATTTAATATCCTTTTTCGAGGGCTGTGCGTTTAATGACTTTGTAAAGATTCCAATTTCTGTCCAGCAAAAATCTTACCCCATTCTAGAACCTTAATTGCTATAATTTGCAGCTGGTATTAATAAGCAAACGTAATATTTGCTTTGGGCGGAATACTGGAATATCCTT